ACATTATTGAATGATTTGAAGTGCAATACAGGATATATCAGGCCTGTCAACTGTCCCGCAATTTGCGTATTTGTCACGCATTTGCTGAAGAATTTGAAGTCACGCCAGTTTTTTTTGCGTGACAGAAAATGTCACGCAAAATACGCATTTTACCTGGTAATTGTCAAGCAAAAATATTTCTGTAGAAATTTTTTCGAAATATGTTTACGATACGGTAAAAATACGAACGCCGGAAAAAACCGAACGCAATTTGTTCGGATTTGTCACGCGAATCCCGTATGTGTCACGCATGTTCATTGGAAATTTTTCGTACCTACCCCCCCCCCCCCCCCCCCCCCCCCCCCCCCCCCCCCCCCCCCCGTTGACGACATCGCGAGCGTAGCGAGCGCGAAAAATTTGAGGTGTTCAAAGTTTGGCAAAGGTGCTCAAACTTTGGCCAAAGGTGTTTAAAAGTTGGCCAAAGGTGTTCAAAATTTGGACAAAAGTGTTCAGATTTGGACTTAGGTGTCCAACATTTTGAAGTCACTCATATTAGGTGGTCCCAAGTTGACAGCCCTGATATATTCTGTCTCGATGTTCTGTATTGGCACTCGACTTCGTCTCGTTCCAATACGGAATTTCTCCTGTATTGCAGAATATATCCTGTATTGCACTTCAAATCATTCAATAACTTATATCATTGCATCCAATATTTCACTATCTTCATCTTTGGCTCCTATTATGATATTGCATTAATTTTACGACATATTTGTATATTTCATAAAAAATATTAACATTGTTAAAGTGAATCAATGGAACGAAAGTGGTAGATTACCAATTCATATTTTTTATTTTTTAATTGGGATGATATGTATCTTGTATCATTTCCGAAAAGAAGAATCATCAGCCAATAACAGAAATATATTAATACATGTAATTCTATACTGACACTCATCAACTGACACTTTATTATAAACTGTAATAGGTTTTTTGAATGCCATCAGAGCATTTTGAAACAAAAGTCATTATGATTCAGTAATCATCACAAAAAGATGACCATACTGATGATCATACAGATCCGTCGACAACCACACAATTAAATGCGTAATCAATATCGAAACAAATGGCTAAATAATTTTGCGATTTTCTCAGAAATGAATGAATTGATGAAAATTGGCCATATTAGGTGAATAAGTGATTTATTCATCCTCCCCCTTTTGACAGGCTGAGGACATGAACTAAGAAGAAAGTACAGTCACTGTAGAATGACACACATTTAGTTTACATTTGCTGACCATTTTATCTTTTTTTATCTTTAGTTACAATTAAAGATATGAACCCTTATCAGAATAAAATAAACAGTCCCTCTTTAATGACAATAATATAAATTCTATGATCAATTTAAGATATTTCAAAAGAATTTGAAAAATAGCATTAAAAATATATATAATAACCTCATACAAACATCCATTCGAATTTTACAATCATATCTATGATTGTTTGAAATAGTTCAAGTTTTAAAAATAAAATAACCAATTAAAAATGAAAAATAAAATTACCTTACTATTTCCTTGATGTCTTTGATGCCAAGCCATAATTGAAAATAAATTAATGGCAGGTGTCTCATTATAAATCAATACATTGCAACTTATATCTGATCTCACTAGAAAGCAATTTTAGCAAACTTGCATTCCCTTATCTCATACATATATCTCCTGAAATATTCTAAGGGATGGGCCATTCTTCGAGAGAGTGGGCTTAGTATAGTTCAATTATAGGGGCCTGAATATCTTGTTAAAAGAAGAATTATAGTAAATAAAAAAAATGTAAATAGAAACGCTAAAATGTTTTACCCAAGACGTTAAATACAGATTCTAAAGTATTTTGTATTTAACAAGAAAAATATTTGGTTGATAGTTAAATAATCAGGACCCTTCATGACCTAATGACTCGCCCTTTGTGTACTACTATATAAACATTATATATGACATACCTTGAATGAAGTTTTTAGAACAATTGGTCATTGGAACTCTCAACTTTAAGTTGAGTCAATTTTGTCTTGTTCAGACTCATCGTCGTATGAGAATAATAATGTCTTTAGTGCCAGTTTTGAAAAAATTTCACAGATTGAGATTTGAATTTATTTTTGAAAAAAAATACAGAGATTCGTGTCCATTGAAAATACATAGCAAAATGGACATAGCTCAGCTTTAATCTTTCGACGTTACGAAAAACTCGGAATTGAATTGTCCTATCTCCATATTTAATTTGCTCAAAAATTGGCTTAGAAAATCTTAAAATTCATGAATTCTATAGTGTTTATAGACAATTTTTTGATAAAAAGAATGTAAAATTACAGAAATGACAGATAGATAGTATTGAAGTTACAGATGCCTAAACTTTCAAAAATTGATTTCTCAGTTTCACAAAAATGTGAATTGGGGCGTTTTTATTCTCAAAGAGTGACATTCTAATTTTGCGCATTGTAGACATATCAAAACTACACAGTTTAACCAAGTCTATATTCTTAAGTACTTTAATAATAAAAATAGATTTGCTTGATTTTCATTCTGTATCAATTAAATTCCATTTTTGCAAACTTCAGCAAAATATTATCAGTTTATCATGTGGCCCTTCATTGAACAATTGCAAAAATTAATATTGTCACCTTTTTGTTCGCCTTAAGTTAACACATTTGGCAAATAATCAGATGAGGTAAAGATGGCCTGATGATAAGACTAAGGCCTTATAGACCTTAGAACACACACAGAAGGGGGGGGGGGTGTTGTCCAGCTTTATTTACAAGTCTATAGTTATTAGGAAATACTATTCTCAACAAATACATGTACAGAACTAAAAAATATATTATCTCAAAAATTTTAGTGTGGTTTAATTCTAAGAAATGGGTGTAGACTTCTTAGAAAGAAATTATTATCAATTTTTTCTAAAATGTAATACTGTAGGTTCAAATTTTATTAAGTCATGGATAGACTGAACCGGGGAGCGGGGACCAGGACACATGTTCAATAATACATACTGCTGTGTATTTTACACAGAATAAACATTATGTGATCCAAAACATTGCCCAATGATAAAAATAATAAGGTCCCCATATGATTGTCTTGAGTTTAAAGTCAATTGATATCAGTCTTTATAGTTTTGAATTAAGAAAAAAGAATGAGATAATATGATTTATGGCCCAACATACCTATAATATGACCATGGGGTTGCAAGAGATTGGAAAGCCCATGATACGACCAACAAATTTTTTTGATCATTGTGAAAAGACTGAAATCACAGAGCGATTAAAGGTCTTTGATGATGGGCAGAATAAAAAAAGTTGGTTATATATTTTAATTGTTCTAATTATTGTGATGTCATATATCATATTAGAATATATTGTTGATACTATGAGGTTATATAATGGTTCTTTCTGTATATCGTGTTTATACTCGAGTGAGTATATGATATATTCACAAGTGAGCGTAGCGAACGAGTGAATATATTATATTCTCACGAGAGTATAAAATGCACGATATACCGAATGAACCATTATATAACCTTATTATGCCACTCTAAGTTCAATGTACAGTTGATTCGAACACAACCATAACAATTAAAAACCATAAAAATATCCCATAGCCAACTCAATAATGCTGATGTTGATCTCGAACCATTTATGACGTGGCTTTATTCTAGCAAATCATACCGAAACCATTTATGACGTCACTTGATTCTAGGAAATCATAAAAATGTTCATGATTTTTTTATTCATTAGTTCCCAGGATGCACTTCTACAGTGGTGTACGCTGGAGTGTATACGGAGGAGTTGTATACGATGACGATATACCACTCTCCACTGTATATCGTTGTTATAGACCCATGTTATACAACTGTAATTGGACTTAGAGTGGAATAATAGTAAATAGCTAGCGCTCACATTCTTCAAAGGCTTTTCACAATGGGATATATCTAGAACACCGCATGTTTTGATTTTTTGCTTGCTGCACACATGATGTCATTACGTGATTAGCCCCATAATCTATATGGTAAAGATACGATTTGATCACTAAGAATTCCTGAAAATATGGGCCTTGTTTCATTTTTGAATGGGATGTAAAGCAAAATCATTTAAGTGAGAGCCATCTATTTAACAGTTTCAAAACTCCTCGACCAGTGAAATGGACCACTGGCAAAAGAACTAATGGCTCAGCCCTAAAAGCATCCTTCAAACACAGTCCTCCAGAACTCGTGGAAGAAGGAGGTACGGGTTCTGGAGGCCTGTGTTCGGAGGATGCCCTGACAGATTATTACATTAACTATTACAAAACTACACACTAACATATACAACCACATTATTCTGAAAGGTATTTTTATTTTAGCCATTCTGATACGATGCATCTTTCTGTTTCACTAGACACATTATACTGCTGAAAAGAAATAAGATGTCATGGTTTATCATGATGTATTACAGCCTAAAGCTTAAAATGTCATAAAACAGTTTTCTCGACTAGATAATGGCTTACAAATATTTTTACAAGAATTTCTTACTTTTATTTCTACAAAATGTTGTTAAGATACAGACAGACTTTACATAGGAACTAGATTGACAGAAAGATGGCAGTGGTGACCTGTCTATTGATCTTTATCTTAAAGGCCCCATGTAAAGTTTAAACCACTTTGGCTTATATTGTAGTCTTACCCAATGTTATCAAAGTGTGATATGTGAAACTTTTTTTTTAAATTTCAAAAAGTGGTTTTTGATAGACTTTTTGTTCCAAAATTTGTGAATTTATTTAAAACCAACTTTTAGAGGTCACTCATATCTTCTAATTAGCCACAATTCATACCAATGCATAGCATTCATCCTCCTATGATTTTTGCCGAAAAAATTAAGAAAATCGGTTGATAAACAAGCGAGAAATGAACTTATCAGAGATAGGGCCATCTTTGAATTCTGGGTTATTCACCCCTCTTGGGAAGATGAGAGGGGGAAAACCTCAGGGTTCAGAAAAGACATGTGTAAATGTGTATTGAGAAGACATTGTTGCTGATTGGTCAAATCAACAGACAAATGACGACAGATCATAATTTTCTAAAAATGCTTTGAATAATATTATGTTAATATCTGCCGTGTTAACCAATATCATAGCTTGTTATTTCACATTAAGATAAAGAGAGATGTAAGGAAAATGCTAACACTGATTAAACATCATAATGACGTGTGGTATTCAGAATAGCCGGAGAAAATTCAAACAGAAGAAGGTGGTAAGAAAGAGACGTAATAATTATGTCATCTCTAAGCTCTGGGGTTTTCCCTCCTCTTGGGAAGATATAACAAGACAGACCACTACTGCCACCTTTCTGTTGACCTAATGTCTATTATGACTTACACATTGATTGTCATATGCTTCTTGCTACAGCATGATGGCATTTACACACATATTGGCACTAATGATCACAATATTAATGAATCCTTGTATATCCTGCTGTCATTTCTCTTTTATAATACTGGGTACATATCAGTACTCAAATGTACCTGAAACTGATAAAAGGCCAAAAATTGCTAAATGCTTACTGAATGAAATGTTATTCTATCTTTTACAAAGTGATAAAAAATATAATTTCATGTTCATCCAACCTTTAGATTATGGCCTTTTATGCTGTGAACTGTAGATAATAAGAATAATACAAAAACTGTAATGACAAGAATAGCATACTATATAATATAATTACAAACATTGCATTTAAAATTTATACATATATATGAACAGTCTGAAACACAGCCCCAAGAAAATGCCTAACACTTTTCTTTTTATTTACATGATACAATCTTTGAAGGGTCAAGGACATTTACTGATGTACACCTACAAATAATCAACTATTATGCTAATGGAAGGGGCAAAAGTCAATAACATAAGGGTTGTAGCCAGGTTCTAACGGGTGAGGTTAATTTAATATAGGTGAGGGGTGAGGCAGGTTTAGGACTTCATGTCTACAGTTTTAGTTGAAAAACACCTCAACAAATACATATTATCTATAAAAGTTTGGTGAGGGTTTGCAAACCCTTATTGCCTCATACCTGGCCACGCCCAAGACAGAACATATTGATTTCAAACAAACTGAACTTTTATCAAATATGATCAATGAATGTTGAATTACATTTTAGGAGGTAGATAAGGGGGTAATTTTAACATTGTGTTTCAAGGTGCATCATTGAAATACTGACCCTGTCCCAAAGTGGCTGCATGTTTTTGGGCCTGTGTTAAACTTTATGCGGCAAGTAAATTGCATGTGAACACATACAGTCAAAAAGCATACTGCTATTCTCTCAATTATATGGCAAGAAAAGTCCTCATTAAATACTTTTTCTGATGAGATTGCACTTTCCTGACATTGCTACATTCAGAAATATCTGAGATATATTAATATTATGCTCATCCAAACTGTTAACAGTAATAAAAACTACGAAGTAGAACACGTTTGCGAGAAACTTGATCAAGGGGGACTGGATCCATCAAGATTTTGTGGTGGTGACTGGTGTCGTAACATAAATGTCTGTAATTATAAATCCAGAACACTTCAAAATCCTGTGTCCAGTCCCGTGGCATATTGACTTATGCAAGATTCAAAGGTTTGTGTGAGATCCGGCAATGTGGGAAGCGTCAGGTACTGTCCAAGGATAGGACTCTGTCTCTGGAGTAGGGAATTTTGAAATTGTTTCTCCCATAGTAGAGCATTTGACAGTTATCTGTCAAAATCCCCATCCATTCCAGCATGGGGGAAGGTCTCACACCAACCATTGAAAGGTGCATCATGTAAAATGAACTTTTCCTGGAAGACTTATATTTTGACCTCCATAATGACTTCACACACTGTATTGTCTCATGTCTTAGGTCATACTCCTACAGCATCTACAGTTTTCTACAGCACCTATAATTCATGGCCAGAATCAAAAATAAGCAAGGCAAAAAGTTGCCCATTCTGGCCATTTTTGCACATAATATATCAAAAATGTTGAAATATCCTGTTTCTTGTCTCATGTCTCATATTGTCCCATGTCCCAACAGCATAATATGGCTTTGTCTCCAGCTAATGTCGATTAAAATAACTTTTGTGGTCTCACTTCCCTAAGCTGTTCTTTATTTTACCCATATTTTACGTGGCTTCAATATTGTTCATCCATTGATATCTCAATGTCCATGGGTAAGATCAATGACCCAGACACATTCAGAGGTTATCTCCCATACTCAGCAAATGAATACTCCGATTAAATGGAAGGATGGCACATATTTTTCAATCAAAAGTATCTAAGGAATAGTTTTTTTGTCCCGAATTATGTCGAGTGTATTCAATGTAGTAATACATGGCCTTGGTAGTTATGCAGATATATATCCTTAAGTTTTCTTCTTTGCTAATGATCCGTCACATAAATGTACTTTTCAGTCTTTTCCTGATACTGTAGTTCTAGGTTGTGGAGGTTTTTGGAGGGAATTTCTCTGGAAGATAGCTCTACCATTCCTGAAACAAAAGTAACACTTTGTTAACTAACTACATGTATGTTTTCCATACTTTATGATGATGTCAGATTAGATTTACTTAGCGTATGTGATGCCTGCAGTCACTTGCAAGGATCCCCAGGGGGCTGATTCTTGAAAACATCATGGTTGTGATTCCTGTATTTCGAAAATCAAATTCAACATGTCAATAACTTTCCCCTTTTTACATGCCCTCTACCTGGTTAAAACAAACCCTTCAATATTACAGGATGGGGTCATCTAATTTTGGGGAGACCCTGGAGTGTGACATTTTGCACAATTTATTTTTCAACTTAAAAAGCTGCTTCATCTCAAAATTAGAGAATCCCACTCGTGAATTATAATGATGTCACAGATGGGCTTTATAGATCAGTTTCATGTTCCACATATGAATCACATACAAAAAATGGTTCTACATTGTATTATTCATCAGTGGTCTCCTCAGAATTGAAGAAGATTTTGAAAAACCTGAAAACTAATTTGCACCCACACAAAAATCATGAAGAATGGGCATATCAGATTTGGGAAAATTTTGCACCAAGAAAAAAATCCCAGGAAGTGCACTGCTTTTGTGAAATAATATAAAAATTTACTAAAAATCCATTTTTATCTTATTTCACATTTGTATATATACTAAATGTATGTGGACTTTCCATAAAGATGAAAATTTAGAATGATGAATTTTAGAAATGGCCCATTTGTAAGATAGAATAATCAATCCATATAATAGTCATGAGGCCTAGCCTATATTTCTTTATATTATTTTCATAGTTCTATCAATAAGAATAGAAACTAACATGCAAAAATGTCACCACCTGCCATTTGTTACAGATGCAAAACTCTGATCACAAACCAACATTAACCACTGACCGCCACCACAAAAAAGATTGAGGCTATAACAATATGTCACCACCTGTGGTGATGACATAAAAAGTAAGGACATATTCTATGCTAGAAGTATGAAAACCACTCAAGGCAAAAATAAAAGGTATATTTGTACATCATGCAGTGATTTTGTGTAAATGTGAATGGTGTTAATTCAAAACACATTGATGTAAATCACTATGATATTAAATAAACACAAAAGAGACACATTGGATAATTATTACGATTAGGGTTCTCACAGCATTTTCAAATCAAAATTTTTTGACATTTTCAGATTGAAGTATGAAATTCCCTGACCAAAAAGTAAGAGACATATTATTTGTACACTGTAAGTACACATAATACTGTAAGTATAGCAGTTATCATTTAGTTTTCTTTTCACAAGTTTGTGGTCGAATTTTTAATTTTTCAATTTCGCCCACTTAAAATTTCATAACTTTTTGATTTACTTTCATTGGTTATGTTTTAGGTACAATCATTATTTATGATTCCAAAAGGGACACCTTTTGCATTAGAGTCAACATAGTACTATTGAAATCCAGTCAATCTAGAATCAGGAAAACTTTGAGTCAACATTTTACATTTTTCATTGGGAAATATTTAGTCATCGAGAAATAGTGAAATAAACTGAAAAGAATGAATTAAAATTTGATTGTTATTGTTAACCTAGTTCAGAACAGCAATCCCCATCTTTTTCATCCAGAATTCAATAGAAAAACATATTTATTGGTTCATTTGTACCCAATCTAATAACTGCATATGGACAGTATCATTTTAACATGCAACATGCACAGGTACATGAGATACAGTATGATGAAATGAAATCAAGCAGAACATTCACATGACATTAACATGACAAAATGTCACCACCTGGTTACAATTACATTTACAAAAAAATGTAACGCTTGTTACAGTTACTGAAAACTGATGCCATGACTGACACTGAAATCTGGTCACAAAAAGGTAGTTTTTAACAATATGTCACCAAATGGTGACATACAAATAACACCACCTGCCATTTGTTACAGATGCCGTATACAAACTGCCGAGCACCATCCACAAACAAGTTTAATGAGGACACTCACCCAACTAACTGCCTGCCCACCCACTTGGCAAACTGATCACAATATAGCACCCAAGGGTGCGGTAAAAAAGACTTAAACAATATGTCACCACTTCTGGTGGTGACATAAAAATTTTTGGGTGCACAGTTTATTAGTATACATACATGGACATGCGTTTGCCATTCCTCTTGAGGAAGTTCTGTAGGTATGGAAATGGGCTATTGTGACTAAGGAAGATTGGCTGAGGGGTAGAGGTCTACAATGGAAAAATGCATGCAGATTAGTAAATAATCAATACTGCTCCAGGAAAACTATTCACTAATCCAATCTTTTAATCTATTCCCATTTTCCATTGAAATAACATGTAATAATTGCATGTATAGACTGGTTTGTCACAAGAATCCAAAAACACTTTGACATTGAATATTGGAGCAAATTCCAACTTTATTTACATGAGATAGGAATAAACATACAAATGACACAAACTTAATGTTACTTCAATATGCAAAGACATACATGTAACCTTTGTATAATTTAACATTATGAACTAAATCAAAAGCACTCCTAAAATAAGCGCAAGATAAGCAGCTTTATGCCTTACATCTACTGACTAAGCAAAACCAATCTTGACTTTAACCAAGGCATCTCTTCCATATGCAGATAATGAGTATAACTCTTCAATAGACTGATAGACATGTCTCAATTCATTAATATTGTATAAATCCAGCAATTGATCTATATCATCACAGAGGTATAACTAGGTCATTATGAGTTCACGTTTAGTTGATTAAATATGAAAATAAATTCTATGATTTTTGAACACCAAGATGGCATTTGTTTCAGTCATAATTTTTTCCTCGATGACAATACAGCGGGAATTTATGACAAAGATGTATTTTTTAAATCATCAAACATACCTAGGCTATATCTAACATCTGGTCTGTTCGCCATAAGGGGAGTGTACATATTCAATAAAATAGCACTAAAAAGAGCAAAACACACCTCGTGAAATCTATAAAATAAAGGTGTTTTCATCCCAGTCCATGAAAAAATTCACAAATTAAAACATAATGACCACAACATCTACATTATCTGCATGATGGAAGAGATTCCTCAGAGAACAAAACATACCCTGCACGTACGGTGGCTCTGAGACATGTGAGCCATGGGTGAGACTAGTACAGTATACAGAACAGTATGGTGTGAGAGACGAGCAACATTGCCATCTGAAAGTAAGCGTGACATCTTTCCATGTAAAATTAACTCAAGTTACATATAAATACAGGGTGATCAACAACAACATGAATTACATTTTTGACACCCTGTATGATTATCTATAGAATATATCAAAGTAAGTCTTGTGACTTTGGAGTCAGTCAAAAATACACTGACAATATCTTTAATCGAAGAAAAAATTCTTCACACCTAAACCATACATTGGAATACCATGCTACCTACACCCACATCCAGTACAGAGAAGATAGAATATTAAGTTTATGCAGGGGCCTAACTAGGATAAAAAATTTGGCAAGGCAAATGTAAAAGGTGAGGCAAATATATTTCTGTATATTTTTGGTGAGGCATTCGCCTCACCTGCCTCATGCCTGGTTACACCCATGTTTATGAATATCCAAATAAGCCATACATAAATGAGTACCTACATGTATTATAAATGCCCAATGTTAATAATAACTGTAATGTATAACAAACTTCATGCAACGTTAGAGTGTATAGAGAATATTGTGCTTTTACATTTTCAGAATCCTTGCTCTTTTTAATTGTTTTTCTTTGCCTGGGGGTTCACTGTAAACAAACTGTGGTAGGGGCCCTAGTTCTAATACAAAACAATTTGTATGATATAGTTATGAGGAACATGTAAATGAAACTCAAAAGCAACAAAGTGTTCAAATATGGGTCTAATATCATATACTTAATGTTCAAATAAGGATCCACAACAGCATCATATTCCGGACATGTGTAACAACTGGACCATTGCCATAACACATATATGAGATTAGGTATCAACAACTTAAGGAAGACCATTGCCTCATCTATCCGAAAGATAATTTTTTAGTGTATTCTCATACCAATCCTAAAATTTAGATTCAAGGTTTACAGTGAATCCTCAGGTTTTTTGTTAAAGGGGCACTATGCATAGTTTGGAGGACAAAATTTTCAAATAATCATTGAAACATGTTACTCACACACTCAATCAAATATGATACATCAAGCTTGATTTAAATTAATAGTGAAGCGAGACAAAATAACTCGACATGTAGAAACAGCATTTGAAGTTCAGAGACCGTAAGAAGTGCATGCACATTTTTGACAAATTGCATGTTTTTAAATAACTCTTGATTGTAAAGATGACAACACTGCTATCAAAAATGAATGAATGAATCATGTGACACAAATAACATCCCAATCTTTCATTGACATTGAGTAAAAACTTGATTATATAAACTTGACAGATCAAAAATATTTTTTGATAATCTATTGTAAGCTGACTGATGTGGGCCATTTGAGCTGTTTTGGTTTTCTAATGGAACATAGAGTACTAATCAATCCATTTGAAATACAAATAATGTGCATAGAGTCCCTTTAATTGCAAAGTTACATATTAGAGCACATTAAATGTTTCAGAAACTAAAATAACATAAATTACAAGAAAAAAACTATTCAACGCAAATCAGAGTTATAGAACTTCAAAGTAAAGAATAAGAATAAATGGACTTTTAATAAACAAAAATGCACAATGTTTACTGTTACCAACATATACAAACTGTAGCAATTATCAACAAATGCATGTTTCTTTTCTCAGATAAATTATTAAGCACAACTCGATTTAGGAAAATAGTGAGGATAAATTAGTGATGAGATATTGGATCTTCATTCAAATTGAAAACAAATGCATGATTTTTTTCTGATTTTCTTATTACAAGTGCAAAACATATTTAGATTGCATTGCACATATTGTGGGGATAAAAGTGAGGGTAAATTAGAATGAGATGAATTAGATCGTGAAGTGGATCTTCATACAAAGTCCAAACATGTGCATACAGAAAATACTATTCAGATCATTTATAGTTTATCATTATACATAATTCTGAGTGTACAAATGTGTTCGTATGTGTGACTGCATAATACTATCATATGCAACTACATTTACAGTGGCGTAGGAACAATATACGCCAAAACGCCAATGCATAGTGTTGAAAAGCTAGAATGAAATAGCTTAATAATTTCCTTATGTTCTTTAGTCATATTTCCTCATTGTTAATAAATTGTTTGTGATCTCGAGCACACTAAAGAAATGTTTTTGGAAACCATGTAATATGTTCGATTTTTTCAATAGTACTCTTTGCAAGGTTTTTGTTCCTCTGTTACTTTTTTCTTACTTCGGCCACGATAAATGTCACTTTTTGGCGTAAAAATCAAGGTGATTTGGGGTAGAGGGTTATGATAGTTGGAAGTTTAAGCCAGTAAAAATGAAAGTACATTTCAACTTCAGTTCTAGGAAAGCAATTACCCTAATTTCTATTTTATTTGAAATATAATAGATTATTATTTTAGGAAATAAAGCATTTAGGCACCAATAATTATTTTGAAAGGAAAAAACAATTTACCACAAAATGTCACGTTGACTTTTGCATGGGCTTTATTTATCTTATAAAAAAGTTGAAGACATTAGAGTTATGTTGTATCATTGATCACGGACATGTTTCTATTGATCATACTAGTTTCTTTAATCTGTATTGTTGAGATTTAAAAGATCGGCTTTCCATGGTGATTTTATATCTTGAAAAACATTCGAACATTTTAAGCACAATTAGAAAGGTATTACCATAAAAATTACGTTTTATGAGCATAAAAGAGGCGTTTTGATTCGTTAAGATTTGACACAATTTTTTCATATTTTTGGCGTAGTGTTGAATTTACACCTTCCTACGCCCCTGATTTACATGATTAAATAGAATACAGTTTTGTTGAACTTGAATTCTAAGGGCTTATAATGATGCCAATTCTGTCAATCCCCTCAGCTCCATCATACCATAGGCTTCTCTTGAAAGTTCATAACCATACTGTACTATATGGAGGCTCACAGAGTTCTTGAACTACAGTCATACCACACAGGGTAATGACTTGTATCAATGATTCAGAAAAGCAATGAAAGTAGTCCATAAATAAAATGAGCTTTGTAAAAATTCAATCTTAATTATTTCTTTGAAGCTTGTACTTAATTTCAAAATTCTTTAAATATATTCAAGTATCTAATCCTTAATCAGATTTGTTAGAACCTTCTTATTCTAAAGGATAATGCTGCAAAACTAAAAGCACACCATATCAACTATCTGTGACAAGCAATACTTAGTCTAAATATTACAACATAACTTAATTAAAGTAACTATAATTGTGCTGGTGATGGTTAAAATATGACAAGGTACTTCTATTTCTAGAATTGGTCAATAGAAGGATTAATATGGGGCAATGAATGCAATGCAACCCTCTGCTATACCATTGCAATGAATGCAATGTTATAGCAGAGGGTAGAGGTACTCCAGAATTATAATGAAATGCAATTGCCAAATTCAAACCATAGATCATCAATACGAATCTTATACTTTGCAGTTTCTTGAAAATAATCAATGATTTGTATGGTTGGAGTATGGGCTTCTTCATGTCCATGGGAAGTATAGCACATTGTATACAGGTCACAGTGACAAATTTATGTTACATCCCACTTTTTTTCTGCTGCCTCCATTACACGCCATCCAGGTTGTAACTCATTAATCCAATTATAGATAACTTTACTGTCAGTTGCTTGAGAAAGATTGATTAAATAAACTGAAACATTTAAAAACTTAATAATTTTGTTTCTTGATTGGCAAACAAAACAAACATTTTAAAACACGGAACAGAACGGCATTAAAACTTATATTAATAGGTATTCCATAGCTAGCTAGGTCTGGTTAATGCATGCTCATGACAAAGATATGTGATAGATGTGAGGGATAATAGAAATAGATAACAATAATGATAGCCTTTAAATCCCATTAACCTCTTGAATCTCAGGCTCTAAAATCGATTGAAACCAGAGATGTTTTCATTTTTGCCACCTTTTGGCATTATACTACATACTTATACAACTTCAGATGCTCAACTTAGTAAAATTAGACTGCAGAGATCATTTTTACACAGTTTTAAAACAATTTTTGTGTAAATTGGATGAAAATTGTTCAAATAAGAGCAATTTTAGTGAAAAATTTTGTGACGGATTTTCTCGTCACTCTGGGTTTCAAGGTCATTTCTGAGATGACGAGAAATCTCGTCACTCCAGGTAGTCAAGAGGTTAATGAAGAGATGGTGTCCGAATATCGACTGAGTAGAGGAAAAATAAAATTTTAGGGGAGAGGGTAAATGAAGATTCCATTAGAAGTGTAATTAACTCACTTTATTGAACACCATCCCCAAGTTTATTTAATTCAATATGTCATTTCTTCAGACCAGTTCCTTTATCAATGTGTCACATTTCTCTTACATAAAGGGCATATCTTATATCAGTGTATACATATATATCATACATAAACTGGGTATCAAATACATGCGCTACATTAAATTCTGTATAGATGGATGGGTGTATTATAGCAAATAGAGACCTCATTATTTTGTCAAATCTCCAATATGCAGTTAAATATAAGTCTACATAACACAATTACGTGGAATCAATATCTTAAGCCTAAATCTTCAATAACTACTTCAAATGTTCTTTTTCTCCACCGTCTTTTTAAAAGCTATCTAGCTATTTTAGAGGCAGAAAATATGGTGAAGTAATTTTCTGACAACAAATTCTGATTGGATAAAGGCCAAATTAAAGTATTATTCTTAATCTGAGGAGTCTATTAAGGGTAAAATACATGTAGACTACATGTAGATGCAAGTAGAATTAATCTTGATTTTTGTCATTAAAAATTCAAAATTCAGTCAAAGTGATATCTACATGTAAAATTACATCTAGAAATGTGGCTTTAAAAAGTGTTTATCAACTTTGAAAATTTAATTTTTGGCATCTGGGTTATTACGCTGAGTTTGATTGCAGTATAGTAATTTTGTGGTTGCATTTCTGAGATTCAACAACAAAAATGAGATCCAAAAACACATAACTTAAGAGAATATGAGAAAAGGCCTTCTATATATACATAAAATGTATACAAACATAGCAATAATGAACAGCAGGAAAATATACATACTGTAAGTCTTGGCCATAAATATTACAACATTCCCTAATTACAGGATGCTCTCATTTATTAAACTCATATATAACATTTAAATTTACCTTCATCCCGAGTCTTTCACTGGCAGACTGCATTGCTTCAGCAAGGTCTACATTGATCAATGTATATAGGGGCTCCAATCTGATATCAAGCACTTTGTACTGGAGACTGTTCAAGCCATCTGACTTAAATCTCTTCCAGCCATCAAGCAAGATCTTGAACCTGCAAATGTTGAATTTGATTAAAGACTATGATCATTCAGCGATGTCACTGGGGACTGCTCAATCTGAATGTCAAACCAATCCAGGTCACCTTCTTTCTGAGAAAAAAGAATCTAACTATCTATAGCTGTTTCATTTATAGGCGGGTGAACCACGTGCATGTTTTCCCTATTTATGAAGATTTTTTCAGCTTGGTAGGCTGGAGTTTGGTCATAGGCAGTATCAGATGTTAGCCTGGTCTCAAGGACCAACTATCAAACCATAATAAATATCAAAAACATATTTTTGGCAGCCATTATCAAACCATTAATTATTTTGTTCAATTTGTAAGAAATGATAAGAAATTCCAAACATCTACATGTAATTGCTTTACAAGAATTAGGTATTTATCTTTGCACTTGTACATATAAGGTCATAATTACATAGTAAGGTCATACATAATATATATAGTGAGACATAGGGTGTAAACTGAGTATTAGAAAGTAAAGCAGTATGTATGGATGTCGTGTTGCAGGAAAATGTCGGGGATTTGAGAATCTTCTCGGGAGAATCTTATGAACTTGAAAAAAGAACCTCGAAAAGACTTCTTGACAAATGGGGGCTCATCCATATAAACACAATAGCTGATATCAAGTTCAGAAATTGCAAGTAGAAAAAATAACAAGTACTATCAAGTAAGTCTGCTTTTGTGTTTATACGTAATTGTGTGTCCAAATATGTACTATTTTGCAAGCTATAAGTCCCACTATCACCACCTATATTGTATGTGTTTTAGACTATTTAATTATTGTAATAGTAGTAGTGTGGTATAAGAAGTGTATAAAGTATATAGAACGCCATTGCCAGGATCAGCATTTAATTGGCACGGTAAGTTTTCAGTTAAAAACTTTTAAAAGAAAACAAAATGGATAATAAAGTCCCCTCTCAAAAACCACTTCAAATATGAATTCTGTTTCCTGTGTCCTATTCTTCAGAGGTAAGGTTCTTTATGGAGTGTGTCATAGTGTAGATCTGGATAATAGGACAAATTCCTGCTGTATCTTAATTCTTACATCATTCTTTCTTAGATTTAGCTTGGCTCCACCACCATGTTTCCATCCTCTTTCGACAAAGGGTTATGTTGTATACATCTCTTTTTCCTTGATGCACTCCTTTTCTCTTGTAGAGGCCTTTATTTTGCATTTGATATCGTTGGCACTTAATTTGATGTTCCCCATCGCTATTGTTGTGCCCGCAAGTTTGAATTCAACCAGTGCTTTATGTATCTTTTTATCTGATGCCAAGATCATACATGTAGTATGATTGAAGCTTACTTTACATGCACAATTGCAAGAAAGATGCAGGACTAACCTACCAATATATTTTTTAGTCTCAAACATAGTATCTCCAAAAGAGAGACAGTAATTTGGACATCCATTTATAGAATTTATGGAATAAAGTAATAACTTTGGGATTTTTAAAGAGAAAAGATAAGGTGTAACGAGGAATTACATATATGATGTATGGGCCTTAATTATTTTTAAATTGAGGCAATTTTTGGAAAAGTTGATCATTCGAACAAATTCTGCCTAAATACATGTAACAATCTGACTATGATATTTTGTAAATCGAGCACTTAATCTCTGAGCAAGGAGAAAGGCAAACCGATTAAAGTGGATCATATATGTAAATGTAAAAGGGATAGATCTTGTGTAAATCATTGGGAGGAATATTTTCAAAATCATGCCAATTTGTTCCTTAGTTTCTGAAAATGAGATCTCTGGTCAGAGTATAACTGATTTGAGATGCAAAAATGCCATTTTACTTTTAATTTAGTCTTAAAATAAAAGCATCTTACTCTCTACCCAACTCTTTCCCTAATATAAGTACAGCTGTACATTATGGTGTTTAAACTGCTTCTTTATTCGGTACATTAAATATTCCATAAATACCAAATAAAACAAATAATTTACCAAACCTTTACCCAATCTATCGAATGTTTTTTATTTTATCGAATGTTAATAATCTATACAATTTATATTTGCTTGTTATTTGTGTAGGCATTCACATTTTACTTTTATACATGTGCGATGCAGCGAATCAATTTGTTTTCCTTAACGCACGTATAATTCAATAACTTATTTGTACATTCGGTATATTTAAATTATTTATATTCGGTAAATACCGAATGCCACATTCGATAAATTTCGTTATTTTTCGATACTGTACGAGACTTTCAGTCAGGTGATATATTTGAACGATGTAGAATAGCTGCGCGGCCATTTTGCAAATCTCGAGGTCACGTGATAAAATATCGAACAACAACAAATGTTATCGAATATTACTTTATTGCATTCAGTAAGTAGCAAATAAGCTTACGGTAAAATGCATTAACTATGTCATAGAAAAATAAACCATTTTGGTAAATATAGGCAAACTTATTTCGGTAGGGTTCAAATAGAAATTCAATATTGTGCATTAATGTGTTACTCTCAAGGAATACCATAACAATTTACGCAAAAAAAACATATCATTTAGCGAATGAAATATGTAATTTAATGCACATAGTATTAAGTGATTGGCTATTTTGAAAACTTAATTTGCTGTAACAAACATATAAACGTTTTTACCAATTGGAAAAATGATTTAGCGAATATAAATATTTCACATATTGAATATATTTGAATTTAATGAATAAAGAAGCAAAAATAATGCCATAGTACATGTAGGCTTATATGTTTTGTATAATGGTGGATCACTAAACCAACTGATGCCTGTAATTCAACACATCTTTCCGTTTTTGCTTCCATCGAAGGATTTTTGGCTAAAATTTTTGAGATCAGTCATTTTCAAAGAATGCTCCCTTTGAATAACATGTTCTATCTCAGATGTAGTTTTTCTAATTTTGAAAATATACAATTGCACGGCACAACAATTTCATTAGGGACTTTTGATAACTTCACACATATTTTTTATTTATTAGGAGGCCCCGACAGGGGGCCTCCTATAGATTTTATAGATATTATTTATTCTTTATTAGGAGGCCCTCCTGAAAGGGCCTCCTATAGCTTTTGTAGCTTTTCTTTATTCTTTATTCTTCTTCTTATTATTATTATTCTATCAAAGCAGTTTTCTCCTACTTTCAACTAGCTTTCAACTTTCTACTATATGCTCCTACTAGATACCTGGTTTGATCTTGATGGGAAAATATTTCATATCTAGGTCAAGGTCAAAGGTCAAAATCTAGGTCAAATCTAAGTTTTTTTCAAGTTTCTCAAGTTTATCCATATACTTCATTATTTCTTGCGATGAATTAAACTGTAGCTACATTTAAGTATTCTCTACAAATTGTTCACTATATGTCAGCATTAAATTTTTACAGTTTTTGAGATATTTGACGTCAAAAAACGGTCAAAAAAGGTCATTTTTCAACTTGCTTCAATCTGACCAAATTTTTTTTTAAAAATCATCTACAAGTTCCCAGGAGTCCAAATCTGACCTCAGATTTGACCTTTGACCTTCGGTTGACCTTCAGTGACCTCCGAAAGGTCAAAAAGTTGATTTTTCAAATCGATTTTCTGGATTCAAATTTAGGTATACTTATTCACAAAAGACCTTCTGAGGTCTAAAAAAGTAGAATTTGCAAGGTCAAAGGTCAAGGTCATCAAACGAAATCTCAAACTGTGTTTTCTAAGTTTCTCAAAATTGGAGACTACAAATCAATTTTTTTTACTGAAAGTCAAAATATATATTCCTCTAAAGGTTCTACACATATTAGCAATTGACTATTTATTAAAATTTTGCTCCAGTTTTCAGATATTAGAACTCAAAAACTGAAAAAAGGTCAAATTTCCAAATTTTTCAGGGTTAAATTTCAACTTGCTCTAAATTGACCAAACTTTTTTTTAAAAAGCATCTACAAGATCTCAGGAACTCAAATCTGACCTTAGTTTTGACCTATGACCTTTAGTTGACCTTCAGTGACCTTCGAAAGGTCAGAAAAGTTGATTTTTCAAATTGAGTCTTTGGATTCAAATTTAGGTCAGTCTAATTACAAAAAGCCTACTGAGGTCTAAAAAAGTAAAAATTTCAAGGTCAAAGTTCAAGGTCATCAAATTAGGTCACAAACTGTGCTATCTAAGTTTCTCATAGTTCAAGACTACAAATCAATAGTTTTAATTGAAAGTCAAGATATACATTTCTCTAAGGGTTCTACACATATAAGTCATTGACTATTTATTAAAATTTTGTCCCACTTTTGAGATATAAGAGCTCAAAAACTGAAAAAGGTCATTTTTTCAAAGTTTATAAGGTCAAATTTTAACTTCCTTCAAATTCACCCAACTTTTTTTAAAAAATCATCTTCAACTTCTCAGGAGTTCATATTTAACCTCAGATTTGACATTTGACCTTTAGTTGACCTTCAGTGACCTTTGAAATGTCAGAAAAGTTGATTTTTCAAATTGAGTTTTTGGATTCAAATTTAGGGTTGGCCTAATCAAAAAAAAACTACTGAGCTCTAGAACAGTAAAATTTTCAAGGTCAAGGGTCACGGTTATCAAATTAGGTCAAAGGTCAAGATCTAGGTCAAATCTAAATTTTTTTCAAGTTTCTCAACTTTGTCCTTATACTTCGTTATTTCTTGCGATGAATTAAACTGAAACTACATTTTGGTATTCTCTATAAATTGTTCACTATATGTCAGCATTAAATTTTTACCGTTTTTGAGATATTTGACGTAAAAAAACTGTCAAAAAGGTCATTTTTCAACTTGCTTCAATCTGACCAAATTTTTTTTATAACTCATCTACAAGTTCCCAGGAGTCCAAATCTGACCTCAGATTTGACCTTTGAACTTTAATTGACCTTCAATGACCTTCGAAAGGTAAGAAAAGTTGATTTTTGAAATTGAGTCTTTGGATTCAAATTTAGGTCAGCTTAATTACAAAAGTCCTACTGAGGTCTAAAAAAGTAAAACTTTTCAAAGTCAAAGGTCAAGATCATGAAATTAGGTCACAAACT